TTGCAGCTGCTGTTGTTGTAGCTGCTGTAGCAGCTGCAGCCGACCCAACTGCAGTTGCAGGAGTCATACACGAAGCAGCAGCAGCTGTGTGTACTACAGCAGAGCAGCAGCGGCCGTGCGGCCTGGAGGCGCCGAGGCTGAATAGTTGCGTGATATGGACGTGGAGAGACGAGATGTTTGGCCCATCAGCTTCATTGTTCTGCTTCCATTTACGAGCGCCCTCCACGTAGGCCTCGACGTAGGCCCCCACGTGGGCCCCCACGTGGGCCCCGACGTAGGCCTCGAAGTAGGCCCCGACGTAGGCCCCGACGTAGGCCTCTATGTAGGCCCCCGTGGGCCCCGACGTAGGCCTCGACGTAGGCCTCTATGTAGGCCTCCACGTAGGCCTCGACGTAGGCCCCGACGTAGGCCTCGAAGTAGGCCTCGATGTAAGCCTCTATGTAGGCCTCGACGTAGGCCCCGACGTAGGCCTCGAAGTAGGCCTCGATGTAAGCCCCGACGTAGGCCCCGACGTAGGCCTCGATGTGTGATAGTGTAGTGATGTACACTCGTGTGTGAAAAACTAACGTAATTAGTTAGTGGAGGCGTTATACGATAGATCACAGTGTATTAAAAAAGTATAACTGACGAATTGTTTTGGGTTAATTTAAAAAAAAAATGCAATGATTCGATCTCAAATCGAATCGTTTTTTTAACAATGGTGGATAACATACACACTTACATATATAACAGTAATAATTACATCGTAACTACATATATAACAGTCGGTAAAGTCACGTTGAAGGGAAATAATAAAATAATAAAAATATAAAACAATAAAAATTCTCACGACGTTTTGTCTGCAACACAAGCAATCATCATCAGGTGTGAAATCCACAGAAAGAAAATTTGAAAAAAAAAAATTCTCCTACAACATCAGAGTGCAGCGCCACATTAAATACGCACTACAGGGATTCATCTTCTTGGTTCTTTCGGTAGTCACGTAGAAGGGAAGTAATAAAATAATAAAAATAAAACATAATGAAATAATTCTCACGACGTTTCGGCTACAACGCAAGCAGCCGTCTTCACCTGAAGACGGCTGCTACGTGACTTTACCGAAAGAACCAAGAAGATTGTTGGATCGCGGAAGAGCGCGTTTCGGGGGGGGTGGGGGGGTGTCCACCTTCTGGAGTCCACGAGAGTCGAGTCAAGGTAGTAGTAGTGGTGGTAGTAGTTGTGGTAGTTGTTGTTGTTGCTGGGCGATGTCCCAGCGCCTCTTCCCACCAAGGCGACCTCCTCGCGTGTGTGTGTGTTCACACTGTGTGTGTGTTCACACTGTGTGTGTGTGTGCACGTGCACATACTGCGTGGGTATGTTCACACTGTGGGGGGCACAGTAATCTCAGTCGACCAATGGCATCTTTTCACCAATGTATTATTTTCAAACTTTTTTATTTTATTTATTATTGTTCATTTTCTATCTGCGTGACTTTACCAAAAGAGCCAATATGGTAGCACATGCTCTGCTTTTTGCAGAGGTTCAAGGTTAAAATAAGTTCTAGATACACAGAGATCCATAGATTAGCACCGTTGGTTACATATAGTTTGAAAGACGTTCAACGTACACACAGAGAGCGAGAGATTAGCACGGTTGGCTATGTATGGTGTGAAAAAAGTTCCAGATACACACACAGACTCGGAGCAAGTTTGAGTCGCGTGTAGTCGTGGGCTCGTGGAAATTGAACAGGCGCGTGTTGCTACTGACAGTAGTTGAATACGGTTGGATATACGCAGATAGACAAAAAACGCCATTCGCAACCAAGTGGTGGTGACGTCACCACAACGTTTGTGCCAGGCTATGTGTACCTTGAGGCCACGCGAAGTGTCGAACGCCCACCGGCAGGTCACGGGGCAGACCCAGGTGCCACGGGTCGACTGAGATGAATGGCTTATGCCAACTTGCTGTGCTTTAGCCACCCGGCTCTCCGCTCGTTGTTGTGAGCGTCGCACCTCCGCCATCCATTGTTGTTGGAGGGCGACTGCCTTGGGATGAACTGTGTAGACTCGTCCTAAGCCATCAGATTCACCGTCAGCAGCACGTCACTTCCATTTTTTTAGCAGTCCATGTATAGTAGCAGGGAACTTAATGGTAGAGCAGGTTGGCAGCAAATGGGTCACTTGGGCACAAAACCAAGAACGCCATAAGGGTGGTATCTTGTGGAGCCAGGGCCTGTTGTTGGGCATTTCCACTGGTGACGTAGATGCATTGACCATTTTTGAGGTGAAGTACCGAATGGACGACTGAGGGAATGGGGTAGCCAAGAATTCTGCAAATGGCCTCAATGTTGATGTATCTTCCTTGGAAAAAAGTTTGAGCTCATGCACACTTTGCCCCTCTGTTTTGTAATGCAAAGACAGCCATGTCAGAGCCTTTGTTGATGTATTTGCAAACATATTTGATGGCTTTTTTTAGAATAGCAGAATTTCACGGTAAAGTGGGCCTGGAAGATCTTGCACAGAAGAGGGCAGTAGGGAACGATCCACCGGTTGTGAACCTTAATTAGCGAGTTAGTGGCAGGTCTGAGCGTTGTTTGAAATCCACCATGCTCAGTATTTCTGACGATATAGAGAATAGCCATCATGGGCCGACTGAATGTCTTTCAAGTCGTTCCGTGGATACCTCTTGGTACACCTGTGGTCTTGCATACATGGCGCATTTGGATAGAACTGGGCACATGGGCCATGGACCATTTGGTTGCAGACCACATAAAAAAAAGGGCATGGTCTGGATGGGGGTGAGATAGCTCAGCACTGTTAAATGTGTCAATGTGACTTACATGAATTGTTTCCCTCATCCATAGCAAAATGTGAGCATGAGAAAGACGACGTTTTTGCCACCCAATGGTGTGCAAGTTACTGCTTTTCTATCCAAACACGCCGCCTTCGTTGCTCGAAATAAGCATCATGAGGTCATAAACTTTGAATTTTAGACCCTCGCTAAGATGTCATGCCTGTCTGGTGGCTTTTGGATTGGATAAAGGTAAACTTGGATCTCCTTTCATTTGGGATTGCAAGTGAAGGTGATGAAGAGATGGGGCGTGGCATATTGGCTGATGTATGTCATGGCATCCCGAGCCTTCTCATGCATGTATCTTGGTGGAGCTGTGAAGGATGAAGGCAAAATAACTAATCAGCCAACATTGTGACAGTTTGCATCTCCTTCGGCATTGATGGCGTCCCAGAGATGCGCATACTGTTCACACGCAGGCGGTTTTGATTCAGTAGAATGTAAAGAAGGCGCTCACTCTCAATGTTGGCATACTCATCGACAACATCCTGATGAAAGAGGTTGGCGCACCATAATGTGGTGTCCTCCTCTGTCCATGATCACGAAGGAATATACGTTTTTTTAAAGGAGAGTTTCGTGAGGATGTCTTTGTCCTGCAGCTTTGTAATTGGAGAAATCTTGACGTGGTACCCATCTTGGCCTTTCGACAGGAAAATGTGTTATTGTAGGGCATCGTATACTCTGTTAGTGTCAAGAAATTGTGCGATGGTGTTTTCTTGGTATGGAAGAACAATGTCTCTCTCACAATGATCCTCACCCACCGTAAGAAAGCAAGGTCAACAATATTTGGGGCATTGAACCTCCCTGCGTGCTCCCCGCTTTGGTGGAAAGTAAAGGTGCGGTACGGAAAAATGTAAATGGCTGATGTTCCCACGAATGTAATAAAACGATAGACGAAATGCAATGGGCTGTAACTAATAAAGTCCAACGTATTTAGCAGTATAACATATTAATCGGCATCGCAGTACGACGTATTAGTAAATAGCGTGACGTGCACAATCGAAACAATAAAAATGCATTAAAATAAGATGAAATAACCATCTTCTTGGTTCTTTCGGTAAAGTCACGTAGAAGGGAAGTAATAAAAAAATAAAAATAAAACATAATAAAATAATTCTCACGACGTTTCGGCCACAACGCAAGCAGCCGTCTTCAGGTGAAGAACATGTCTGTCGATAAGACAGAGTCTAAATGACACGTCTTAGGCTTGGAGTGTCTATTTAAGCTGTGAGGGAGGAGGAAGAGAGCCTTGACAAAAGAATTTGCATTTGAAGAGGAATTTAGCATATTTATGGGAAATGCAGGAATGCGAATAGTGCTAATTGTGAAATGCGTGGGAGGTGGGCGGGGGGTTTTCAAAGTCATATTATGCCCATGCATTATGCAGGATTAGCAGCATCAAAGGGAGGGGGCAGGGGCAGCACCAACAAAGGGAAGGAATGTGAATAGTATGCAGCTGCAGCAACCAAACAACCACGTAAAAAACTAAAGTATAAACTTCATAGTATCATCAGTATACTAAATATACTCTCCAATAAGCTGAGCTACTAACAGTAAGTAATACATTACAATTCTTTGTCGCAAAAAATATAATATGCTTCCAGCTAAACTTTTTTTCCCTTACATCAAACAGGTCTTCCCCGTACTATATGCTGCCATAGACAAACCCAACATTAAATTATATACTGTATTACTATACACCACCCTATACCTTATACATTGTTATATTACACTATGTATTATTCTACCCACCCTAATGTATATCACACTGCTATATATTCACTATACAATTACGATACTATATATTACTTTGTACATTGTATTAAGCATATAAATGTTATACTATTTGCTATTATACACTGTACCATTGACCGTCGTGTGAAAGATACTAAGAGGCAGCAACGAAATATGAGAATGGGAGAGTAGCAGAGCAAAGAATCCATTCCCTGCGGAGAATACAATGCCAGTGAGTGGAACGCGGTCTGAGAGTCACTGTAAACGTGAACACAATCAGTTAAGATCCGAAATGGTTTATTTATATTTTTTTACGTGGTTGTTTGGTTGCTGCAGCTGCATACTATTCACATTCCTTCCCTTTGTTGGTGCTGCCCCTGCCCCTACCCCCTCCCTTTGATGCTGCTAATCCTGCATAATGCATGGGCATAATATGACTTTGAAAACCCCCCGCCCACCTCCCACGCATTTCACAATTAGCACTATTCGCATTCCTGCATTTCCCATAAATATGCTAAATTCCTCTTCAAATGCAAATTATTTTGTCAAGGCTCTCTTCCTCCTCCCTCACAGCTTAAATAGACACTCCAAGTCTAAGACGTGTCATTTAGACTCTGTCTTATCGACAGACATGTTCTTCACCTGAGGACGGCTGCTTGCGTTGTGGCCGAAACGTCGTGAGAATTATTTTATTATGTTTTATTTTTATTATTTTATCACTTCCCTTCTACGTGACTTTACCGAAAGTACCAAGAAGATGAATCCCTGCAGTCACGAAAGCTTTAAATCGAAAGATGAAATAAGCTTACATTAAAGAGCAGCAGTACGTACAGGTAAGTTGAGAAGTAGGGTACAGTCTAGATTATAAACTTCCAGTATGCCGACTCAATGACATAAGCATTTCTACAGTAGACATAAAAAGCTGGCAATATGGTCAGCAGCTAAAAAAGCAGGATACAGTCGACATGAAAGGCTGGCAGTACACTGAGTGAGGTAAAGAAGCAGGCAACAGATTATAGACTGGCATACAATCAATGCCCAAAAGCAAAATTAGCAGTGTAGATAGTTTAACATGTAGGCTTTCGCGACCAATATCATTTATTATAAAAAATGTTGGGTTAGATCGCGTTATGTATAAATGTGTCGTAACCCTCCACCACCCGACACGGCCAATCAGCAAAAAAGTGTCACGTTGACAAAGACAAAAAGTTCCCTACTTTAGCCTACCGGTGTGTTGAAGAGTGAATTCACGTTTACAATTTTTGAGTACGACGTTTCGCTGATAATTACATCCAGCATCATTGGGCAATTCGCCAAAATGGTGCCAGTGCACTGACTGTAATTAATGAGCAGGCAGCAGGCAACAGCACGGATTGGCAGTACACCGTCTCAGCTTCATAAAATCACAGCTAAACAAGAAAATATTTAGCAACCAAATAATGAAATATTAGTTTTCTGCACACAAACATTATTATTGTAATATTTGCCAACTTATTGGTTTCATAATAGTAAACAATAAGCCTGAGTTCTTAGCGAAAGATTCAATAAAATTGTACTTTACATTGCCGTGGTGAGGCCTAGTCCCGTGCAGAGCAAGCGGCCTCACCTAGATTGCTAAGCCGGAGGAGGTGACACATTGCCAGGCTGGGGGCTGGGCCGCTCTCCCCACCCACGCTGCAATAATGCTATCTAAGCGCTCTAATATTAATATCTACGGACTTTATAGCAGTAACTGCATGCATTGGGGTGGGGGGGACATAAGACTGTGAAGAATGAACCTAAGCGTTGTGTGTATATTTTGTAACCATTGTTAACGCAAATGAAAAGTTTTATCGATCGTGTGTGCGTTGCTAGGGATTCAATTGCATGCGTTGTCCCGCGGCGGGCGGCAAAACTACATAAATAATGAAATATCGCAAAAAATCGATAATTAAACTAATTTAAAGGTGACGGATGTGAAAAAGGAATAGTGCTTGCCAACCGCAGGGCTTACAGCGTGGTACCTGGCAAATCGTTTTCGTAAACCCCACTGTTAGAGAGACAAATCCCTCGCAAGCGCGTGAACACACAGGCAGGCAAAAAATGACATTTATATATAACACACTACTTTAACTGTGACGAACGCTGCACTTTGTCGTTTTCATGCAGGGGGCGCTGTAAACCTACGTGCCCCCTGCTTGAACGACGGAGGCGCAGGGACAGACGTTCGATCACGTTGGAATCGATCTGCAGACGGCGGTCTTCTGGCACGGCCAGCTCTGTGTCGCCTTATCTCGATTCCGTGATCCCAACCAAGTCTGCATCGAACCGAACCCCGGTAAGGCCATTTACCTCACGACAAGAGAACATTCACACCAAATGTCGTTTTCAATTAAGTCTTCCAGATGTGAAATGATATAAGCTTTTAATCAATACAATTATCTAATTTAAAAAATAACAGTTCAAAGTTGTTTCATTTTAAAACTTCAAAACAGAGCATCGGGAGTGTGCGTGAATGCGTCGTTCGTGTGCAATTTTTTTCGTGACTTTTTTCCTGGCCGAAAGCCGTAAATAGTTAAGCAGGACCGCCTGCGGCGCCCCTCGCTTCAACCCATGGTTGTGAATATCCACACGTTAATTGGCAAGGACCATTTATTGTCCTAGTTCGCCAACATATAAGACGTCATGCAAAATACGAATGAGTGTTGTTGTGCAGAATGCATCTACTATATGTGCTCTGCCTTGTAACCGAATACAAATCTGTACCAAAAATGCATTTCAAATCTGCTTTTAAAATTACCTCTGTTGTATCTATGCCCTGTTTTCCGTTATTAATATTAAGAACAATAAAAAAAAAATTGTTTTTTTATATATCTATATATATTTAAATTAAATAATGAAAACAACCCACTACTCCTCACAAGCACACCAGGAATCTGTGAAACGGGGAGGGCCATTAAACGGTAATAATTCGGGCACATAGAGGTCAGAGACCTCCAGATGGACAAAAGGTCGATGGCCTAACCTCCCAAAACATCTGGAGATGCACGGATAAGGTGCAGAGCAGAGAAAAACTGTTGCAACTCGCGTTTTCTTTAACGTTTTCCTTACCGAAAAGTAGAAACTTAACAAAAAGAATTAACCAGCAAACAATAGGGGCTTGTTATTAGATATTCCCTTATATTACTCGTATTCACCGTACATATATATCATATTGTATGTTCTATCTACATGACCTTACCAAAAACTAAAGAATACGAATCCCAGAAAGCTTAAGTGGGAACTTAGTTACACTTAACCTCAAGACATTAAAAATAACTCAGAATAAACACCAATCCCTGGAGACAAACGCATAACTAAACCTGGCAGAACCCTCAAAATAATGATGTAACGAGGATCATCACGAATATTCATTAAACATAGACCGAATAATAATCACGATATACTAAGACCGAGGGAACTCATAAGAAATATCACGAATAAATGTAACACACAGGACCACATAAATGTATTGCATAAATCTCCTCGACCACCTTTGTCTTCCAGCGGTTGGCACAAACACACGCGTACCATAAAAAAAAAACGTATGGCGGGGCCTGGTCTCGGGATGACCCACGCAGGAGGGGGGGGGGTCTGTGCCTGACATTCCGAGAGCATCTGTTTTTCTTGTTTGTTTTTCTCTCGCAAGAGACACGGAGAGAGGAGAGGGTGTTCACGTTTTTGAGTTAAACACACGCGCAGGGTGCTCCGACGACGGAGCACGGCCATCTTCGTCTCCCCGCAGCACGGACAGCAAGATTTGCACACGCGAGCAAATAACATTTCCCATAGGGAGATCGGGCCACGATGAAATACCGGGAACACGGTTACGGCATACCTTGGGTCGCTTGCAATCAAATCACAATGATACTAGGCAGCCGAATGAGTCATTTCAACTTCCAAACCAAAAAAAACAACTTACGCTGTGTGAGACAAAGGATATAACGCCCAGAGCGAGGGAGGGGATCATTAAGCTTGCTTAACGCGTAGGTCTTCGCGACAAATATTGTTTATAATCGGAGACGCGTATTGTGATTGTGTAACCTCGGTGCGAACGCGAATCGTCGGTCTGGTTCAATGGATAACTCGTGTGGGGCACCAGTTCGCGAAGAAGCCCCCACCCCTCCTTCCAGAATTACACAGCTGTGTCTTTAAAACTAATAAACACACACACGACACATACGGACGCAGATGTGTTCACCCCCACAAAAAGATATATAACCCGGCCTTTGAACAACTCAGGAAACCGAGTGGATTTTTCCCATATAAGCGGAGGCAAAATCCATTCAACTCAGATCTTCAGGACTCCGGCCCCACCACAGATCTCCACGGGGCTTCGGCCTCCATCTCCTCTCGTCGCCGCCAACAAAGCTCTTTCGTCATCCAAAAGGACGAGGTTCGCGGGGTAGCGACGTGCATCGACAAGCCGAGGTGCTCGCCTGCCGCACACGAGTGAACGAGCTTCAACCCCCTTGTCGTGCCGCCACGCCGAGGTGCCCGCCTGCCGCACACGAGTGAACGAGCTTAAACCCCTTTGTCGTGCCGCCAAGCCGAGGTGCCCGCCTGCCCGCGCAAACGAGCGCGGCCGCGCCGTCAGTCACCGTACGGGGTCAGCCGAGGGAGGAGTCAGAAAGCAAACCGCTCACCGCAGCCGCGCAAGCAAGAGGGTGCTTGTCCGAAAGTCGTTCGTACCCACAACTTCCCCCCACTCATAGACCCACACACGCACGCATCGACGCCCCACTCACCTACGAGACTATCTATTTCACCCATACCATCGTATCAACCCTAGTCAATTATCTGAAGACTAATTATCAATTACATGAACCATCAGCTGGCCAGGAGGAATCGTGGCCCAGAGTGATTAAAAGTCCGTCGGTTATAAGAGTGAGGTTATTTTCCTTGCCTTTTTCTTTTGTTCCGCTCATCGTATAGGCGATCAATATATTCGTCGAGGCAAACTCAAAACTCTCAAAATCCTCATTACGAATCGACCCGTTTACAGAGAGAATATCTTGTCAAACCGGTTTCTTTGTCATAGAATCTCGCCCAAGAATTAATCAAAGCAGAGCCGATACTCTCTCTCAACACGCATCCACCCACCCTTGTCTCAAACACTTCGTTAAAAGGATTTTATACTTTCCGATGAATCTATTGACGTATACTTTCGCCTCTGGGGTATAAGTTGCTTTTATTGCCTTAATATGAATATCGTTGCATGCCTGTTTTAAAACTCCGCCAGTCGCCGGTTGTGCTCGATACATGGGAGAACTACTGAGATGTCTGGTGGGAAAGTAGAAATTACGGTTGTTAGAAGAGTTTTAGCCATTCAATTTCGTTAATTGCATAATCTCGCCAATGAATGTGTTTTAGTCATTCATTTTAGTTAATTGCATAATCTCGCCAACGAGTAAAAGTTTGTCATTCATTTTCGTTAATTGCATAATCTTGCTCATGAATTTAATGACGTATGTTTTTGACTTGCATGCTAGAATGTCACATGTTTGTTTAGAATAAAATTGTTAACACAGAAGCATATCGAGTGTTCCTTCCAAGTCCATGCCAAACTGTCTTATTCATAAGAACTGTTACTTGCGATGAGATATGAAGTTGGAGACCTAAAATAACATAACACACACTAAGATAATCAGTAAATGTTTAATCAATGATAATCGTGTTATCCTGATTGATACAACTCTGGATAAACAAAACTAAGCCTAATTATCATAACTGCACACATTTAACATACTCGCAAGCATTTGCATAAATTACTACGCTTATCTCCGTGATTATCATAATTTATGCATATACACACATTAACATAATTTATGCGATTTGCACGTTTTTTGGAGAATTATTAAATGTTTTTATTTTTATCAAAATTTCATGATTCCAACATATAGAACACCTCCTTGCTATGAAGCAGATCAGCAGACACGACATCTTTCATTTATCGATCTCTCCACAAAACAAAGGAATGTTTTACACAAACTATAACTAGCACAGACTTCTGGGAGTGCGTCATTGATTCAGTGCAAGCCACCTTGTTGTATCTATGCCCCTTTTTCAAAAATTCATATTAAGAATAATTCTGCCAATAATATTTGTTTTTAATAGACACGGGGGAAACTTTGTAGCAAACAAAGTAAAATAAAAACCTTGTTCCCCGCTTCCACGGGAAGATGCACGCACACCGCTTCAAAAGGCCAGAAAGCATGAAAGAGACAGCCATAAAATGTCATGAAACCTCCCCGAATTGCACACAAGAGGAAAAGGGGGGGGGGGAATTGCAAGAGGGTCTTAAGACAATACGCACACTTCAAAAAGGCCCCCTCACAATACAAGAAACAGGCGCCACAATAAATATAATTATATTCTTAACGGCTAAAAAAAATAGAATTGGCAACAAGAAAACAGACAGGTTTTGAGCCATATTAGTTAAACAAAGTTACCAACTTAACCATGAAAATTAAGCAAACATTATCTATCCTCGCTCCAATTAGAAACCAGACTACAGTCTGCACCAGGGGGTCGTGAATCCTCATTTGTTAATTCAATACTGACATTATTTCCCTTTAATAATTTTCTACGCGGCCTGACCGAAGCATCAAAGAATAATTATGGCAGTCAGGGTCACTCCTAAGCCAAAAACACATTCCCTAGCCCCGGGATATCAGATAAAATAATAACAGGCTAAGTCACAAATCGTGAATAAACACAAAACCAAATAAGTATGAAATTAGAGAGAATCTCCTAGGAGAGTTAAGGGTGGAGAAGTCTATCATAATTAACCAACATGCAACACTCCAGGGAAAGGGGGCTCACAGCCGTCTTTGTCTTCCCGAGAGGAACGGCCACAGAGCAGGCACAAACAAAGCAGGGAAATGGCCCTCATAAAAAGTTTCATGGCGAGCGGAGGTGCCCATGAGAAAGGAATTCAACAGATGTCTCTATATAAAAAACACGCACCGTACGGGCGCAGGACTGCAGCGAGTGGGGAGAGGGAGCCCGACCGTCTTTGTCTCCCCGCAGCACGGACAGCAAGATTTGCGCACACGAGCAAATAACATCTCCCCATAAAGAAATCAAACCACGATGGAAATACCGTGAACACGGCTACAACATACCTTGAATCACTTACAATCAAATCACAATAATACTAAGCAGCAAAGTGAGTCTCATTTTAACTTCCAAACCAAACGAACAACTTAAAGCTGTGTGAAACAAAGGATAAACGCCCAGAGCGAGGGAAGGGATTATAGAACTCGCTTAACGCGTAGGCTTTCGCGACCAATATTATTCATAATCCAAACCCAAAACGTTATGATTTTGCAATTTCGGTGCGAACGCGAATCGTCAGTCTGGTTTAGTTTGAGGACTCGTAACGACGTTTCACGAGGAAACCCCCACCCCTCTTTCCAGAATTATTACGGACAGCTGCTTCTTTGAAGAACCTTATTCCTCCAATAAATCGCACACACGGACACACACACGACACACACGGACACAGATGTGTCCACGCACACAAACAAAAAAAAGAATTATATGGTTCCGGCCTTTGAACTAAAAAAACACAGAGTGGATTTTCCCGATATAAGCCGAGGCAAAATCCCAACAACGATATACCATCGGGGGTATACCATCGGGGGCATACCATGGGGGGTATACCACCGGGGGTCAGCGTCCCACCGAGGCTCAGCCTCATCTCGTCTCGTCACTGACTACGAAGGAGCTCTCTCGTCATCCACAATGGCAATGTTCGCGGAGTAGCGACGTGCATTGACAAGCTGAGGTCTGCACCACCTACGAAGAATCGCTACACTGAGCCGCCGAACTGCGATTGAAACTGACGGAGATTCCAGTTATCATTCTCGAGCCAACAAAGACATCCAACGTCCACCCAGCAATGAACGAAAGCATCGTTCATCGCCAGAGCGACAACCAGCAAGCAACCTGGAGAAAGGGCGGAAATCGCCAAGCATCGACCAAGCGAGCAAAGCAGAAAGCACGAAGCAGTGGGGAAAGCCTGATCGAATGGCCGCGAGGAAGAGGACAGCGCCAGCGCATACGCCATGTGTTTAATACGCACACACAGATCGACCATCACCAACGAGAACCGACTCGTCATCCAGCAGTAGAGAGAACGAGTCACCTCGCCATCAGAGCTAGAGAACGGCACTGCGCCGTCAGAGTACGGGTGCCTGCGCCGAGGGCCGCCAAGCACCACCCCGCGACCAAGCCTCTCCGCGAACCGCAGCGGGCCGACGCCGCTCATCTCCCAGCGGAGAAAGTCGCGGCTGCAACCCGCACGGGCGAGAGGAAATCTCCGAGTCGGTCGTATCACCTCTCCCATTCACAAACTCAAGGAAGCACAACAACAACAACCGCCATTCGCCACTAAGTGGCGGTGACGTCACCACGATGCTTGTGCCAGGCCAAGTGCACCTTGAGGCCACGTGAATTGTCGAAAGCCCGCTGGCAGGAGGTCACGGGGCAGACCCAGGTGCCACGGGTCGACCGACCGAGATGACCGAGATGACTGGCTGATGCACCACCTGTGCCCCCTACTGTGCCAACTTGCTGTGCTTTAGCCACATACACACACACATCTACTTTCCCCGGGGCATGCAAGAATTTATCCAAGAGACAATCCACCTGTCTCACAATGGGACCAACCCTACCTAGACAATCATCAGAAGACTAATTATAAAGTTTGAACACCAGCTGGCCGTGAGGAATCGTGGCCCTCTGAGTAATTAAGAATCCGTCAGTTATAAGAGTGTGAAGTTTTTCTTGCCTTTTCATTTTCGTTTCTCTTATCGCATAAACGACCAATAGATTCGTCAATGCAAACTAAAACTCTCGAAATCCTCATTGCGAATCGACACGTTTACAGAGAGAGAATATCGTGTCAAACCTGTTTCTTTGTCATAGTCTCGCTGAAGAATTAATTAAAGCAGAGCCAGATACGCTCTCCCACGAACACACGCACCCACCCACTATGGTCAAACATTTCGTTAACAAATATAATCTTGCCGATGAATGTATTGACGAATACTTTTGCCTTTGCGCGTTAGTGTCATATGTTGTTTAGAATTAAAATTGCTTAAAACAGAAGTATGTCGAGTGTTTCTTTCCAAGTCCATGCAAAACTGTCTTATTCATAAGAACTGTAACCTGCGTTAAGATATGAATTTGGAGACCTAACATAACATAAACACACTAAGATAATCAGTAAATGTTTAATCAAAGATAATCGTTATCCTGATTGATACAACTCTGGATGATGAAACTAAGCTTAATTATCATAACTGCACACATTGGTCAAAATTGAGCAAATTCCAAACAGGCTCTTGTTCACATGCAGGCCGGTGCAGGGCCACCACCTTGTGCCACACAGGGGCAGCTGCTACTTGGGGATGCTCTTCGAGTGTTTGAGACGAGATACGATACAAAACTCCGAATTGCCGGGGCGATTAAGCAAGCACCATATAAATGCACTTATGATAACATAGTGAATGCTTGGGAGCTTATTGGCTCTCGCTCCTGGTTAGAGATCTACCCAACCCACAGGTCCACAAAGACTGGCCACTCTTACCCTGCAGGTTGAACCTAGGAACCGAGTGTTCAACTTCTTTCTTGTCATTAACAGCCTGTAACAAAGGTACATCTATTGGAGCGACATCGTCTCAGGCTTACACATCTACCGGGTCTGCATTTGACTTTGCATTATCTCGGAAGTCCACCCACACCTCCACTTCCACAAACTGCTGGGAATTGCCTCGCTCTGCCTCACAGTCAGAATTCTCCTCCTGCTTCACATTGCCTCCATCGATGTGAAGGTCCGATTTTGGATTTGAATCTTCATCTTCACATTCTACCTTCACTTCTTGGCTCTTCACCATCACTTCTTCAAATTTCACCTTCACCTCTTCATATTTCACCTCAATTCCTTTTAAAGTGTCCAAGCTGGGATTTTCTTCCGGTTCTTGCTTGATAAGGGATGGGATCATTGCGGCACTTTGACTTTCACAAGCTGATATCAGACACCACTCCTTGTGGATCTTCTGATGCGTGTTTGTTCTCTGGTGTCTTTCAAGAGCAGATGACTGTGCAAACGCCTTCACACACACACTGCACTTGAAGGGTTTCTCTCCCGTGTGTGTTCTCTGGTGTGCTACAAGAGAAGCTGAATGTGAAAACGACTTCCCACACACACTGCACTTGAAGGGTTTCTCTCCCGTGTGTGTTCTCTGGTGTCTTTCAAGAGCAGATGACTGCGAAAACGCCTTCCCACACACACTGCACTTGAAGGGTTTCTCTCCCGTGTGTGTTCTCTGGTGTACTACAAGAGCAGATGACTGTGCAAACGCCTTCCCACACACACTGCACTTGAAGGGTTTCTCTCCCGTGTGTGTTCTCTGGTGTTTTTTTAAAACAGATGAATATGCAAACGCCTTCCCACACACACTGCACTTGAAGGGTTTATCTCCCGTGTGCGTTCTATGGTGTGCTACAAGATTAGTTGACTGTGAAAACGCCTTCCCACACACACTGCACTTGAAGGGTTTCTCTCCCCTGTGTGTTCTATGGTGTGCTACAAGAGTAGCTGAATGTGAAAACGCCTTCCCACACACACTGCACTTGAAGGGTTTCTCTCCCGTGTGTGTTCTCTGGTGTTCTACAAGAGTAGATGACTGTGCAAACGTTTTCCCACACACACTGCACTTGAAGGGTTTCTCTCCCGTGTGTGTTCTCTGGTGTTCTACAAGAGTAGATGACCGTGCAAACGTTTTCCCACACACACTACACTTGAAGGGTTTCCCTCCTGTGTGAGTTCTCTGGTGCTGTGTCAAATGTTCAGTACGATCCGTGCTGTATGCACACCGGTCGCCTTGTTGCCTTTTTGCACCGAGCCGCGCCGAGTGCCTTTGCTCCATCAGACCAATTCTGCAGAGGCAGCGATAGCTGGAGACAGAAAAAAAGTTATATCCACACCATCTACACATCAGTATCAATGCATATACACAGTAACACGTGCCTTACACGTCTATACTTATATATTCATGATATAGTGAAAAAGCATCCCAAATTCATCACATGGGTTGTTATGGCACACAATGAGAGGGCAAATGGTTAGAAACATGCCTGGAAGCCCTCGTATCTTCAAAATTAATGTCAACCCAAAACTCCGAGCACACAATTTCGGCTGTCTGGCTTCAAAATAAATGTTTATGAAAGCTATTTTGGGGAGGGGGCGGGGGCGCAATAATGCATTTATTTTGCACGCAAGTGTGCAGTGACATCACATCTGTGATCAAATCTGTGATGTCACACCCGCATGCGGCAGCGTTACGCAGTATGCTTGCTGACATCACGCATCCCCCCCAAACACTCCGCGTAGGACGTGTTTTAATCCAAGAGAAGAATCCAAGTCCCGGGCGAAGCCAGCTAGTAAAGCTAGTCTATATATAAAAGAGAAATGTGTGGATATGTGTGTGTGTCTGTTCAAAATGTTCAGCATACTTCCCAACATGCAACACACTTGAAATTTGGCATGTGGGTAGGTTCCACACTGTACACAATGTAATAGCTATAAAAATAGACTTTTGTATTTTTGGAGGGGGGGGGGGAGAAATGATCATGGAGTGTGTGGCGTCAACCCACAACACACCTGAGCTAAGCGCTCTGCAATGCTTACCCCAACCATATGGCTCTTCGCGCGCCGTACTTCTAGAGCTGTTCACATCGTGCCGAGAGATTTTAGGTGGCGCTTCGCTCCTGGCCGATTGAAGTCAATGGCTTCTCGGAGTTTCAATACAAATCCGTGCAAAGAACGGGTACAACTGCTATCTTAAATATAAAGCAGAAATTACATCTGTTTGTTTGTGTGAAGCAGCAAAAACTCTCCAACGCTGAGCTCTGGTGTCATGAAATTTTCACAGCTGATGATGTCTGGAATTTCTAAGTGAACGCGACTATTTTCAGCTCACCACGTCATTCCCTTCCCGAGTTGCCGAAATCTTCCTCATGTAGAAGTGGGTTAAGGTAAAATTTCCTTCAGTGAAAAACATCCGATTTAGTTAAATTGATTACTTTTAGTTTTTCTTTCTTACAAGAATACATTTTTCAGGGTTTTTCAGTGAAATAGGGGAATATTAAATTAATCCAAGACAAGAATCCAAGTCCGCATGTAGAGAGTGAACACCGCCAGGCGTCCAGAGTAAAAACCGCCACGCGTCCAGAGTGAACACCGCCACGCGTCCAGAGTGAACACCGCCACGCGTCCAGAGTGAACACCGCCACGTGTCTAGAGTGAACACCGCCACGCGTCCAGAGTGAACACCGCCACGCGTCTAGAGTGAACACCGCCATGCTGTTGACGAGCCTCACCTTGTTGTTGTTGTGGGCAGGTCGCTTCTGAAAACAAGAGCGGTATAGCAGCTCAAGCGGGCTTGGCCTGGTAAAAAGAAAAACTGTGTTAATATTTAAAGTAAAAGTTACAAAGTGGCGAGCCGGGTGAAGACAAATTCAACTTAAGCGAGAGAATTGAAGCAAACGCCATCAGGCGAGGGCAGGAGGCAAGGCCCCGCTTTGTTAAGTTCCAACCTGGACATCGCTTCCATGCTCGCTGCTACTCAATTGACATCCCTACGAGAGAGAGCGAGGCTCTACCTCGGTAAACAACAACCACCACAACCACCACAACCACCACCACGACAACAACCACCACAACCGCGATGAGAATTTCTCACCTCGGATTTAAGTGCACGGGCGGAGCGGCAACTTCCTGGTCCCTCGCGACGTCACGCGGCAGCAGGTGACACGACGTCACTTGCGGGGTACGATGACACTCCCCTCCCTCAATGAGCGGGTCTAAACTCGCAATGGCTTTCACAAAACATTATGTTAATGAGCCACCAGTTACCAGGCGTGGCTTTGCCCAAATAAGGATTGGCTCTGGGACAGAAATCGGCAGTGGCCGAGCAGAGGTGACGTCACGCTCAAGAGTGCGGTGGTCGGGGAAGGTGACATTACGTCACTAGCGAGGCACACCTCCCCATGGCGTTTGACGCCGATGAGGTCACGCTGCGCTGTGACTTCAGAGAGCGGGGTCAGAGTTCAAGTTTGTTGACAGAAAGGGAGTGGCAATGTCAGCGTCAAACGAGAACCCGGTGCGGTGTGTAAACATCGCCACTAGGGAGACAAAGGCGGCCGGGCGTGGTGCTGGCCACCCACCCCCTCGTGTGCCGTGACGACCTCCATCGGTGCTGCTCGCTGTGAGCAGCACTTTGTAGATGTTGTGGCTTGGCTCTCCAGCACACCGCTGGCGACATTTCACGATGACATTTTCAGGTCCATAAAAAGAAAATCAGCATACTAACCTATGCCGTTTTTTGGCAAAATTGATAAAAAAAATAGCTTTTTTTCAAAAAAAAGTGCATTCCTTGGTTATGTTCAGCCTGAGTAGCCTATATATTACATTAAAAGTGGGGAATTTCATGCATGAAATTTTCTAATATAAAAAAGTTAATCGGCATACTGTGCCATTTTTAGGCTCAATAAGCTCAACTTTCACAGCTTTATTTTAGGACGAAAGTTAATTCCTATATTATATTTAGCCTTAGTATGCCATGTATTACATTAAAAGTGGAAAATTTCACGATGAAATGTTCACGTCCCAAACAGAAAATCGACATACTAACCTCTGCTGTATTTGGCTAAAATTGAACGAATTTTTACAGCTGTATTTTTAAATAAAAAGTGCATTCCTTGGTTGTATTGAGTTTGAGTAGCCTATATATTACATTAAAAGTGGGAAATTTCACCATGAAATTTGAAGCAAAAAGATCAAATCGGCATACTTTACCAATGCCGTTCTTGGCCAAAATTTACTACATTTTATAGCTAGATTTTCCAATAAAAAGTGAATTCCTCCATTTTGTTAAGCATTAGTATGCTCTATATTACTTTAAAAGTGGAAAATTTCATGATTAAATTTTCACGTCCCAAAAGAAAAATCAGGTACTTATGCCAGTTTTAACCAAAATAAGCCAAATTTTCATAGCTTCATTTTTCAACAAAAAGTTCATTCATCAATTGTATTTACCCTTAGTATGCCATGTATTAGATTAAAAGTGGAACATTTTATGATGAAATGTTCACGTCCCAATATAGAATATCGGCATATGCTGTTTTTGGCCAATAATGGCCAAATTTTTACAGCTTCATTTTTCAACAAAAGTACAATCCTCAGGTGTGCTTAGCCTTAGTATCCTATATATTACGTAAAAAAGTGGGAAATTCCACCATGCAATTTATAAGTAAAAAGGCTCTGACATGGCTATCTTTGCCTTACAAAACAGATAGGCAAAGTGAGCATGACCAAAACTTTTTTTACAAGCGAGATAAATCAGCAACAATGAGGCCATTTGCTGAATTCTTGGCTTCCCCATCCATGACCGTCCCACCACAGTCGTCCATTTGGCACTTCACCTCCAAAATGGTCAACGCATCTACGTCAAAGGAAATGCCCAACAACAGGCCCTGGCTCCACAAGATACCACCCTGATGGCGTTCTTGGTTTTGTGCCCAAGTGACCCATTTGCTGCCAACCTGCTCTACCATTAAGTTCCCTCCTACTATATGTAGTAGAGTTACCCACTCGATGTTCACAAACTGGGAGAGCTAATCGTTGACAAGGTTTTCCCGCTCAAACTAACGGTCAGGGTCAGATAGGGTGAATTGGGATCCTAAAGCAGATTGGGAACGACCAATAACAGGGTTCCACAAGGTGGCCGGGGATTGGACAACCCGGCCACGAACAAGTATAAAGCCAGAGCGCTCAGAGCTCTCGGGGAGTTCAACGACACGAAGACCCAAGACGGCGGAAGAAGCATAGGACCCTGGACCAAGCCCTCCAGCCCTTATAAGGGCTAGGGTTCAGAGTAACCAGTGGTCGGCGAGACATCTCCCTAGGTCCAGTCAGAGGACATTGAAGGAGCGGGATATTAAGTAGCCTGTAGGGTGCGGAGGCTTGTACGTTCTGAGTGTAACGGGTGAGGGGACCGTATACCCCTCAGTGCATAGGGACTGTGTTCATAAAACGAATAAAAGTGTGTGCTACAAAAGACGTTGAAGAGTCCGTTTGTACAACACTACATATACATGGATTGCTAAAAAAATGGAAGCGAAGTGCTGCCGACGGTGAATCGGATTCCTTAGGACGAGTCTGCACAGTTCATCCCAACAATCAGCAGTGCTACTTTTTTCCCAATGCTTCTCCATGTTGCCAAAGGGCACAAATCTTTCCAAGACCTATCCACAGTAGAACGAGTTGTCTGTCAAACATATAGGGAAGCTTGCAATCTTCGTGCAATTCTTGTGCACTGTCCTTGAAGTGCACTGTCCTTGAAGAACCAATTATCATATTTTTACTGGCAAATGAGGTTTCCATAGTGTAGATCAGGGGTCGGCAACCTACGGCTCCGGAGCCGCATGCGGCTCTTTACGGGCTGCTTCTTGACGATATGTACGTATGTACAGTATGTACTCAGATGCATTGCGGCTCTTGAAATACTGAATTTTGTACCGAATTGGAAAGAAATGGCTCTCCTTGTTATTTTGGTTGCCGACCCCTGGTGTAGATGCTTGCCCCGAGCTCTCATACTCTGATGGTGCATTGTCTTTGAGTTGTGCGCCTTTTGGCGTCATCTGGTCCAACCCATGTGAGACTAGGCTCTAAGGAAAGCTGTCTCGGGTGTGGACCAATCAACTTCAAGGACAGTGCACATTATCAGAGTTATGTTCTTTTGTTTGTATTATGACTGCAGGTATTGCGGTCTATGCAAACATGACTCCTTGTAAAAAGGTGTCAGTTTTGTTGACAGATAGAAGGGTAAAGAACCAATTATATTTTTACTGGCAAATGAGGTTTCCATAGTGGTCTCTGAAAGGCAACAGCAGAAGTCACACTGATTTGCAGTAAGTATTCATTATTATGTTTTGTTTTTGTGTGAAAATCATGTTTTGCTGGTTTTGTTCTTTGAACAGTGATGTTGATGCACGGTTAATTTTGTGCACCAGTAAACCATATACCTACGTTTTGAATTTGAAAAAATCATAGCCCCTCCAACAAGGTTAAGAACCACTGCTACTAGACTGAACACCGCCACGAGTCCAGAGTGAACGCCGCCACGCATCTAGAGTAAACACCGCCACGTTGTTGACGAGCCTCACCTTGTTGTTGTTGTGGGCAGGTCGCTTCTGAAAACAAGAGCGGTATAGCAGCTCAAGCGGCTTGGCCTGGTAAAAAGAAAAACTGTGTTAATATTTAAAGTAAAAGTTACAAAGTGGCGAGCCGGGTGAAGACAAATTCAACTTAAGCGAGAGAATTGAAGCAAACGCGATCAGGCGAGGGCAGGAGGCAAGGCCCCGCGTTGTAAAGTTCCAACCTGGACATCGCTTCCATGCTCGCTGCTACTCAAATAACATCCCTACGAGAGAGAGAAAGAGCGAGGCTCTGCCTCGGTAAACAACCACCACCACCACAACAACCACCACCACAACAACCACCACCATCGCGATGAGAATTTCTCACCTCGGATTTAAGTGCACGGGCGGAGCGGCAACTTCCTGGTCCCTCGCGACGTCACGCGGCAGCAGGTGACATGACGTCACTTGCGGGGTACGATGACACTCCCCTCCCGCAAAGAGCGGCTCTCAACTCGGACGTACTTCACGAATAAATTATGTTAATGAATCCCCGCCAGTTACCGGCCGTGGCTCTGCCCAAATAAGGATTGGCACTGGGACAGATATCGGCAACGGCCAAGCGGAGGCGACGTCACGTTTTTTGAGTGCGGTGGAAGGGGAGGTGGGTGACATGACGTCACTAGCGAGGAACACCTCCCCCAGGCGTTTGACGCCGATGAGGTCACGCTGAGCGGTGACGTCAGAGAACGGGGTCGGAGTTCAAGTTTGTTGACAGAAGCAGAGCGGCAGTGACGTGATGAGCGCTGCGCTCCGAACCGACCAGCCGAGTTCCATTCCCGCTCGTGGCCAACACTGCCAGTGACGACTTTCTGAACCGGTCCTGAGCCTCCCCTACGTCGACTCAGCCTCAAAAGAGTGTCAAGATCGCTACTGGGGAGACAAAGGCGGCCGGGCGTGGTGCTGGCCACCCACCCCCTCGTGTGCCGTCCCACCCTTAATAGGTGCTCGCTAACAGCACTTGCCCCTACAGTCTGTTGCCTCCCTATCGCCGGAACCACTCCAGTGGGGATCTGTCTGCAGATGTGGCTCATGTCAGGCAGAGATTGCAACCAGGTGGTCCGTTGTCAACAGGTGCAATCACAAGAGCGGCGTCGGCCCAGCTGCAGACTCACGACTTGATGGATCTTGGGAGGGAAGATGAGCTGCTGGACTTTGGTGGCAGCAATGGAAGCCAGGACAGCAACCTTGACATTGCCGCAGGTAGCACAAGTTATACTGGTTGGAACCTCCTGGTTACACCAGCCCACAGGGGATTATTGTGTCCGTCCGTCCGTCGTGCAGGGAGGGGCTGGGTGGGGAGGGAGGGGCTGGGTGGGGAGGGGCTGGGTGGTGTGGGGAGGGGCTGGTTGGGGTGGGTAGGGTGGGGGTGGGGAGGGGCTGGGTATGGAGGGTGGGGCTGGGTGGGGAGGGGCTGTGACGGTCCCACCTGATGACGGAGACTTGTGTTGCCTCCGAAACGTCGTGATCTTTATTTTATTTTTTATTAATTTTGATGTTTTACCTACGTGACTTTACCGAAAAAACCTAAGAATATGGGTGGGAGGGGTTGGGTGGGGAGGGGCTGGTCACCCCATGGTGCCCTTATAAAACTCAACGTTTAACCTACTCACGCCGGCTTGTGCCCTCCTTCACAGTCGGGCATATTTGCGGAATTCACCACGCCGCCGTTAACCCTGGCCATTGACCGAGCAACCCAATGTTCCTACCAGCTCCCTCCGCAGGAATGTGTTTCTGTTCATTTCCCATCACAACAACGGCAATAAGGAAATAACCTAAGAGTTAAATATTACCGCTTGATGGAATAAATTATCCTTCACTTGCACTAAGTGGAGTGGAATTTACTGTTGCGTTGCACAATTTGTTGAACAAATTGTGATAGCCTTGTGAGCTTTACAACTGACACACCGCCCCAAACTAGACGTAAATTTTGATCTTGTTCAAGGGTTATTAAAGGCCCGAACATTACAACTCTGTGTGCGTTTTTTTTGTGAGTTGATATGCAAATTCCTTTGTCAAGGCGCCCTCCTCCTCTAGCCCAGCATAAATATACGCTGCCAAGCATGGTGGTGTTTCATTCAGACGCTGTCTTTCCAACAGACCTGTTCTTCTCCTGAGGATGGCTGCTTGCGTTGTGGTCGAAACGTCGTGAGAATTGTATTTTATTATGTTTTATTTTAATTATTTTATTATTTCCCTTCTACGTGACTTTACCGAAAGAACTAAGAAGATGAATCCCTGCAGTCAAGAAAGCTTTAAATGGAAATCTTTAGAAATAGTTTTAAACAATCCAGGACGGTTTGCTTTAATGGAAACATTCCAACTGTGATTGTATTTGTTTGGGATGTCCCCGCGGCAGTCGAGGTTTTTGGCAATGATCTGCAGGGATGGTGCGTTTCCGTTCCTAGTCGCGAGGGCATATCCTTGTTACTGCGTCGTCCGTTAGCGTTGGTTCACGTTCGGAGCAGTGAGGAAGCCCGCTTATCTTGCTTAAGTTGTTGAGTTGCATCGGCAATAAACCCAAAGGGCAACCTTACCCGGTAAATACAGTAAACCATATAGTAAACCACTTTAGTCTTCGTTCCTGCAATGAAAGAATAACAAAGCTACACCAACTCTCTCCCGAAGCCCTCTTCTGGCTTGCAGACCTCGACATGTTCATTCATCTCCTGAACATATTGCCAGAATTGGAGTAAATTGTAATATGGTGCCACCTAGTGGCGATACAGCTCAGATGAATCTTTTAAGTAAACGGGCGGCAAAGCTTAGTTTTCGATTCATGTTCATCATCATTACTCTGGTCAACAAAAAAAGAATTCTGGCCTGGACTTTTGCAGCTGTTTTAGACTAATTTCTGGGTGCTGATTCCAAATCTGATCTCAGATTTGCTCTATCACATCTCATTTTATGCTATCGGCATACCCCATTTTCATTTATTTTACCCGAAATTAACTCTGTCACTTATGATTGCAAGTTGTTGCGAGTCAGTGACTTGCTTTAGTGTTAAAATATGGTGCGGTATTTTTAGGATAGTGTGTTTATGATATCATTTTATGTCGATATTCACATTTATTTATAATTTTTCTTCCGCAGTTTTGATTGAAAACGCAATATTTGATATCTCATAAACCTGATGTGATAGACAAAAACTGATGCCAGATTTGGAATCAGCACCCCAAAATTACCTTAAAACTGTTGGAATACCTTACGCGAGAAAAAGTGTGTTGACCAGTGAATTATCAACCAAAATTAGATCCAATGCTGGATGGAGGCCTCTCCAAGCTGTCATCATCACATTTTCTTGCAATGCTACAATCCACGGAGCACCTGCATACGAGCTGATTTCAGAGCTCTCCATCTTTGATCTTTAACAGTGCATTTGAAATAGTTTTTATACTCCTACTGATGCTCCTGCTGTTGTGGAATGACTCATGCAGCCAGCTATCGCTACAGGGTTTGGTGATACATGTTTTTTTGCCGTAATAGGTTTTTACCCTTTCAACTGGTACAAAAACTAACACCTTTATACAAGGCATCATGTTTGCAATAACCACAACACAAGCAGTCAAAATGCAAGCAAAAAGAAACAACTCTGATAATGATATGCACTGTCCTTGAAGTTGATTGGTCCACACCTGAGACAGCTTTTCTTAGAGCCTAGTCTCCATTGGTGTTGGACCAAATGACGCCAAAAGGCGTCATCTGGTCATTATCAGAGTTGTTTTTTTCGATTTAAAGCTTTCGTGACTGCAGGGATTCATCTTGGTTCTTTCGGTAAAGTCACGTAGAAGGGAAATAATAAAATAATAAAAATAAAACATAATAAAATAATTCCCACGACGTTTCGGCCACAACGCAAGCAGCCGTCCTCAGGTGAAGACCAGGTCTGTCGGGGAGACAGCATCTGAATGAAACAACACCACGCTTGGAGCGTCTATTTAAGCTGGGTTGGAAGAGGGAAGTGCGCCTTGACGAAATAATTTGCATATCAAGAGGAATTTAGCATATTTATGGGAAATGCAGGTATGTGATTAGTACTACTTGTGAAATGTGTAGGAGATGGGCGGGGGGTTTCAAAGTCATATTATGCCCGTGCATTATGCAGGATTAGCAGCATCAAAGGAAGGGGATAGGGGTAGTGTTAATAAAGGGAAGGAATGTTAATAGTTTATTATTATACAATCTGCTATACACTATAACATTGACCATTGAGTGAAAGATACTAAGAGGAAGCAACGAAATATGTCAATGGAAGAGTGGTAGTAGGAGATTTGCAGCGGAGCAAAGAATCCATTCCCTGCGGAGAACACAAGATATATGGTCATGCCAGTGAGTGGACTGTTGTCTGAAAGTCACCGTAAACGTGAACACAATCAGTTAAGATTCGAAATGGTTTATTACGTCCTTCCAATGATTGCTGAGCCAGAATCCATCTTCTCGGTTGAAATTGTCTCTGTGTTTGTATATGTGGATCGCCTCATGAACGAATCTCTCATGGTAGCCAGATGGCTTGCAGAGAACCTCTGTCTTGGAGAAGTCAATGTCACGTGAGCCCACTGAATTGTAACAGTGATCTGCCACGGCTGAGGTGTTTATCCTACCGTGTTTTAGGTCTGCTTTATGTTCACGGATGCGGTTCGAGACCTGTCTTTTGGTTTCCCAAATGTAACGGCTACCACAGAGGCAACTTAGTTTGTAGACGCCAGGGTACTGTATGTCAGAAACCACATCTTTTACAGACGGGACCAGATCACGGACTTTATGTACTGTGTTGAATCGGACCTGGATCTTGTGTTTAGTCAGGATTTTGGAGATCTTTTTTGTGACCCCAGCAATGTAGGGTAAGGTGATGGTTTTGAAAGGCTCCTCAACAGGATCCTTCTTGATGGTTGGAGTGATGACTTTGCGGATTGTGTAGTCGGAGTAACCATTCGCCTTAAGAGCATGGCGTACGTGTTTGAGTTCACTGGCAATGTGTTCCTGGTCGGAGATGCATTGGGCTCTATGGTATAGAGTCTTGATGAGGGAGTTCTTCTGGGATGGATGGTGGTGGGAGTTCGGTTTTAGGTAAGCATCCGTATGGGTGGCTTTCCTGTAGACAGAGTGACTCATTGAACCATCAGGTCTCCTTTTAATTAGGACATCCAAAATGGGTAGGTTGCCATCTTTTTTGACTTCCATGGTAAATCTGATGGCTGGGTGTATGGAATTGATGTGGTCGAGGAATTGGTCTAGAGCAGGCCGGCCATGACAAAAGTGTCATCTACGTACCTCTTCCATAAGGTCGGGCGTAGAGTGGCGGTCTGGATGGCGTCAGTCTCAAATTTCTCCATGAACACGTTGGCTATAACCGGAGATAGGGGGAGCCCATTGGGGTGCCCTCAGTTTGTTTGTAGAAAGTTCCATTCCAGGTGAAGTATGTATTGGTTAAGCAGTGTCTCATCAGGGGGGGTACCCCAATATTCAGTCCTTGATGAACCAAGTCTTCAATGATTGCGATGGTGTCAGGTACAGGCACTTTGGTGAATAAGGAAACCACATAACAACTGACAAGCAGGTCGTCTGGGGACAGGGAAATTCCCTTGATTGTCGATACCAGGTGAGTAGAGTTTAGTACCGCAGAGGTGGTTTTTCCAGTGAAGGCCGCAGTATTTCAGACAAAAAACGAGCCAGTTTGTAGGTGGGGGAGTTGATAGTAGAGACACTTGGACGAAGAGGTGTATCTTCTTTATGTATCTTTGGCAAGCCATATAATCTTGGTGGCCTGGCTACAGAAGTTTTCAACCAGAACTGTTTGGTTTGATCAATTAATGCGGTTGAATCATAAATGATATTGTTGGTTTTAATGACGAGGCTATTGGTGGGGTCTCTTTTTATTTTTGTATAGCTGCCATCGTTGAGTAGTTCTTGAATTTTGTTGTTGTATTCTATTTTGTCCATGATGACAGTGGCATTGCCTTTGTCGGCTGAGAGGATGACAATGTCATCCCTCTTTTTTAATTGAGCTAATTCAAACGCTCATCTTTGCTGATGTTGCTAGCTGGCATCTTAGCGTTTTTGAGGGTTGCAGCGATTTCAGATCTTGCTACGTCTGCAGCGATGTGACTCAGGCCCTTGAGAGCCACATCTACTCGGGCAATGATATCATTAACTGGCATGTGTCTAGGTGTGACTGCAAAGTTTAGTTCTTTAGCTAAAACGGA